ACCACAGATATAATACCCCATTGAGCAGGTGTGTACAGTGTCTCAAAGCAACTTAAGCAAGGGAATAGAGCTAGTAAATAATAAAGCCAGGGCTAGAACCCAGGTTTCTTGACTCTTCGTCCAGTGCCTTTCTTTTGTTTTGTCCCTCTGTTCACCAGGCACAGAGGAAGGTGCCCTGTCTCTTAGAAAGCACTGTGTAAACATCATGGATGGATCTGGAAACCATCATTCTCAGCAAACTGACACAAGAAGAGAAAACCAAACACCACATGTTCTCACTCATAGGAGGGTGTTGAACAATGAGAACACGTGAGCATAGGGAGGGGAACATCACACACTAGGGCAGGTTGGGGGTGGGGGGGCTGGGGAGGGACAGCGGGGGGCGGGTAGGGAGGCTGGGGAGGGAAAACAGTGGGAGAAATGCCTGATGTAGCCAACGGGGGCCAGAGACTGCAAACCACCATGGTATGTGTGTACCTATGCAACAACCCTGCGGGATGTGCACATGTGCCCCAGAGCTTAATGTACAATTAAAAAAAAATCAAGTTTCATTGCTTTGGGGTGGTGATTGTGATTATTATTAATCAGTTCCATGATATTTCTATTTTTTAATTTATACCTCATAGTTGTGTACATTTTCCCAGGGTACATGTGACGTCTTGGTACATGTATACAATGTAATGATCGAGTTAGGGTAACTGGAATATCTATCACTTCAAACATTTATCTTTTCTTATGTTAGGAATATTAAAATTCTCATCTAGCTTTCTTGAAATATACATTGTTAACTAGAATTACTGTACTATAGACTACTAGAATCTATTACTTCTGATATTTCCTGAAAGGCATATAAAGCTCAAAGAATGGTTTCATCTTCCCTTCCCACAGCTTGTTTTTCCTCCTTCATTTGTGCTCTTCTCTTGAATAAATTATTTTAATGTCAGACTATCAGTTAAACTAATTATACTTTTCTGGATATTTGACAAAGGAAAGGTATTAAGGGTAGGAATAACCTATGAAATGGAAACCATTTCTAACATTATAAAGGGCTGAGGAAAGAATGGAGAGAATGTGGAGCCCAGAGACTCAGAGAGAGCCTGTGTGTACCTAAGCAACAATCCTGTAAGATCTGCACGTGTACTCCAGAACATAAAGTATAATAAGAAAAAAAAAAAAGGGAATCTGTAGATAAGGCAAAAATGTTGGAAACAGGGCTCGAGGGGTGAGGGAAAGAGATTTTAAAATATTTTCAAATATATAGTAGGAAGAATGAAGTCAGACTGAAGAAAAGAATATTTTCAAATAAAAATACAAGAATATTAGACAACAAACAACATACAAGAAAAAAGAGAATACGAATCCGATTTCAAACAGTAGACTGAAGAGCTGGTGGAATTACTAACAGCAAAAGGGAACAGAGTATAGAGTCTGAAAGATGAGTAGCTTTCTTTTTGTAATGCTGGGTTTAAGGTGGCGGCAAGGTTCTCACTAGTGGAAAGGGTCTAAGAGCTTTAAGAGGCAAACTTGGAAGCTCTGTGCAATCTAGAGCTGTTTGTCCAATACAGTCTCCTCTAACCACAGGCAACCACTGAGCAACTGAAATATGGGTACCCTGAACTGAGATGGGCTCTAAGCATCAAATACACACTAGATTTTGAAGATTTTCTATGGGAAAAAAAAGAATTTAAAATCTCCTTTTTTCTGCATTGATTACATGATGAAATATATGCATGGACTGGGTTAAATAACATTATTAAAACTAATTTCACTTGTCTGTACTTTTTTAACGTGATTTGTAGAAAACTGAAAATTACGTATGTGGTTTATGTTATATTTCTATTGGACAGCAATATTAGTTATATATTAAGATCACAAAAGGGATAGAGACATCATTCCAAAGTATCTCAACTAAACAGATCCGGAAGAAAAAAGGACACACACATGATAATAGTTAATATTTACTAAGCACCCCAAGCACTATGCTAGACACATAAAGGGCACCGTCTTATTTGTTCCTCCCAAAAACCTTATTAAACATCTTTTATAGAATAAAATACTGAGGCCCAAGGTCACACAGTTAAATGTTGGTGTTAGGATTCAAGGCCATGATGACCCCAGATCTCAAGTTCTAAACGGTCACAGAAATTTCAGAACAAGTATGCTCTCTAATTATTAAATGGTTAGATTTTAAATGTCATATTTAAACTATTTATTAGAATGGTTCATTGTCAAAGTCAGTTATGTCCCAATTCAATTAAGAAGAAAAGCTATAAACGTGTGGATTTGTAACTTTAGAATTATGATGAGCTACTGATGCTGGCATATTTTCACCATATCCGGCCATTAAAGACGTTTCCGGTGCGACTTCTTTCCTTTTATCAATGTTTATTCCCAGAAATGCAAACCTGTCAAGTTAGATGGTACATATCCAACTGTCCAACGGAGACGATCATCCACCTAATCCTAAACAGCAGGGCCTGTTTTCTGAACATAACTAGACAGATAATACGGATCTACTTGACAAATTTTCAACATTCTCTTTTGGAGCACGAAAGCACCTGGACCTCTCAAAGTGACTAAAACGTTTTGAAGGAAGCTAAACTAAATGGAACCTTTGTTGAAGAACCAAAAATTAAGCTTTCCCAACTGATACTTTAAAAATGGATTTTGTACTCCTTGAAAATGCTTACTTTCAAAGAACAGAAAGAAAAAAAGGCTGGATACTTTGAATCAGGAATCATAACAGTAAAATCTCCTACAAATACAAATTGAAGTCAATAAGTATCTGTCATTGACCTTTGGTTAGTTCATTGGTATTAATTTCAAAGACAAACTTTCTTTCCTTTTCACATTTAATTTCTACTACCTATCTGGGAAAGATGGTAACCACAGAACTGCTGAACTTGTATAGTCAGTTCTAATTACATCTTTTTCAAAAACTTACTCATGTAAATTTTATTAAACAATTTATTTACAATTAATACATTTCCCTAGACTAAGTCTTTTAAAACCACTGCCATAAATCCTCATTATAGAAATAGAAAAACAAAAGGAAATTTGAAAAAAAATAATTATTTTGGAATAAGACTAACTAGCAGAGATATCTTACAAGACAGTTCATACTGGACATGTATTCAAAAGGGTGTCTCTCTGAACTGACCCACTAATTTATTTTAAATTAAACCCCCTAACCTTCCTCCTCCCTGGCCCACTTTATTTTTTTTTTAAATAAAGTAGTATGATTTCAGCTGGGCATAGTGGCTCATGACTTGTAATCCCAGCACTTGGGAAGCCAAGGTGGGTGTTGATCACTTGAGGTCAGGAGTTCGACTAGCCTGGACAACATGTGAAACCCTATCTCTACCAAAAATACACAAGTTGGCCTGGTGTGGTGGTGCACGCCTGTAATCCCAGCTACTCGGGAGGCTGAGGCACGAGAATCACTTGAGACCAGGAGGTGGAGGTTGCAGTGAGACTAGATTGCACCACTGCACTCTAGCCTGGGAGACAGAGTGAGACCCTGCCACAAAAAAGAAAAAAAGGTAATACAATTTGGATTTGGGTATTAAAAAAAAAATTCCTCTGAAGACCCAAAGTTTCTGAGAAATACTTATCGAAACAGGAAGCATCACACTTGTGCAGGATAAAGCTTTCAAGAGCTTGCCCTTGATTTTAGCTCTTTTAGGTTAAACATTCCCATGACTTTTCTATTCAGCTAACAAGTGAACTTATTCCCTTACTCGATACAATTCCTACCTACACACTGGGACAAACCTTCAGAGCCCAAAAGAGAGAGCCAATTGGCCCTAAAAATGCCTTGTCCACTCTGATGCCAAGGTGCCAAGGGCATGAAGCGACAGACCAGCCATAAGAGATAGCCGCCTAGACTTTTGTCATTGAAGGCTGCCAAAATCGGGTCCCTCCTCTCGGGGAGTATCTCCCTCCCCCCAAACTTCACTTGAGACTCTCATCATTACAACTGTCAGCTGCAAAATGTTTGCAGTTGTTCTCCACTTGTGCATTAGCAGAAAGCAGCTTGCTTTATTGGGTTAATTCAAAAGAGTTATCAAGGACTTACTGTGCGGCTGTAGGCACTAGAAAGACAGTAAAGAACAAAATGATAAAAATCTGTCTTCCTGAAACTTACATTCTGGTAGAGGAGATCTTTCAAGAAACAAGCTAAAGAAACAAAATATGCAGTACACTAAACAATACATGCTCAAGAGAAGACAAAATGAAGCAGGCAAGGGGAATACACACTGTGGTGGGCTGGGTAGGAAAGGTTAGAATTTTAAGATTAAGTGGTCACACATAATCAGGCAGAGAATGTGCCTAAAGGGGTAGCCAGGGCAAAATCAGATGGAGTGGGTAAGAGAAAGGTGGTTAGCATATTTTAATAAGCCCTGAAGTGGAGAGGAAACCCTACGGGAAGGGGGAGAGGCAAAGATTGAATATAGACCCCTGAAGACAGACACAGATTTCACATTTTGCCAAGACCGGTCCTTTGAGTTGAGGATAGCACAACAGATGTTCTCCCTTGGTAGCCAAAGAACCAGGCTCTGCTGCTAAAACTCTCAGGCAGTTCATCAGACCCGGGGGAACGAACACACACACACACACACACACACACACACACACCCCACCCACCCACCCCCGCTTAATGCCGAGAGGAAGCGGTACTAATCCAGAGTGGAGGACTGGCCTGGGAAACCGGGCAGAGTTGTAAAGAACACACCAGAAGCCCCTCCAAGCTCAGACACTGATAAAACCCAGCGCCCTCTCAAGCCAATCTGTAAACCCAGGACGCACCGTCGAGCGCACAGACACACGCCCGGGGTGCAGGGAGGACAGGGGTGGGAGCTTAACCGTTAGGGCCCGAACCCCAGGACTCCAGAGGCGGGGTGGGTGCCTCGCGCGAGAAACACCGTTTTCCGCTCCAGGCGCCGGCGGGCGGTGGCGAGAGCAGGTTCCCGGGGCCGGAGGGTGGGTTGCGGGCGGGAATGGCCGCCGCGAAGGAGGGGCGGCTTCCTCCGGCATCCCGGGCGCCAGCCCAGTGCATGCAACAGGGGGCTGAGCGCGAGCGGGTACCTCGAGGTCCTGGAGCGGGACCCGGGAGCAGGAACAGGGACAAAGTTCCCGAGGCCAATGGGCCTCGGGCCGACCCGCGCGCCCCCGGCCCAAACGCTCACCTCGCTCCCCAAGCCCGCGCGGACCCGGCCCCTCCTAGGGTAGCCGGTTCCAGCGGCGAACCCGCAGCGCCCGCGCAGCCACCCGCTCGGCCCTCTCCCGCCCGGTGCGTGGGTCCAGGAGAGAAAAAGCGCGGCGGTGGCGGTGGCGGCGCGCAGTCCCACTCACCATGATCCGCAGCTGCTGTGGCGCGACAACCGGGGCGCGCGGCGATGCGCTGTCCAGGGTAGCCAGGTCCCTCTGCCCGGCGCTGTCTCGGCGCCCACACCGGTTACCCTCACCCATGCCCCCGCCCGCGCCTCCCCTCCTCCTCGGGCTCGCGCCTCCGCCGTGCAGCGCACGGATCCTCGGGGCCGTTTCGTCCCCGCCCCCTCGCCCACAGGGGCCTCCCGCGCCGCCCCTCCTGGAGGGCGCGCGGGGGAGGGGCGCAGGGCTAACGAGGCGGTGCCCTCCTCCCCTGCGGCGCCGCGCGCCCCCTCCCGGGCGACCGCCCTCGCTTTCGCGGCTGCGGCGCTCCCTGGCGGCCGGGAGGTGATTTGCAGGCCCAGCCGGCGTCCGTTGCACGTGGCGGCTCAACGTTCGCGGAACCCCACGAGGACCCACCACCTGCCCGGATTGGCGGCTGCTGCCGCGGGAGGAGTAGCGTGCAGGGCAGGCACGCTGGTCCTGCTTCCAGTTGGGTTTCGTGGGTTTGAAGCACACATTAGGAGGAAATGGCTCTGTTCGTGCAGGTTTGCGGGGTCTGGTTTTCTTAGGTTCTGGGGGTGCGGTGGGGAGCGGATCAGTTTGGATAACGGCCCTGAGCAGGAGGCACTGTCCCCCTCCCGGTCCGACCCGGGGCTTCCAGCGGACGCCACCGACGGTGAGCGCACTGTGAACAGAAGGGTGCACTTTTAGTTACTTTATTTTTGTGTGGGGCCCAAGTGAAAGACGTGGGAAGAATTGGACTTCCCTGAGTATGACATGAACTTTCCTCCATTTCACCCTTAAACTTAGGAAGTTGGTGGCTCCCTTCTGTATCCACAGCATTTCGGGAGGCTGAGGCGAGCTGATCACTTGCGGTCAGGAGTTCGGGACCAGCCTGGGCAACATGGCAAAACCCCATCTCTTAAATCAAAAATACAAAAAATTAGCCGCATGTGGTGGTGCGTGTGCCTGTGATCCCAGCCACGGGAGGCTGAGGTGGGAGGAGCGCCTGAGCCCAGGAGGTCGAGGCTGCTGTGAGCTGAGATCGTGCCACTGCACTCCAGCCTGGACGACAGAATGAGACCCTGTCTAAAAAAAAAGGTGAACTTGTGAGGCTCGTGTGGTAAACATGATTATTGGGGTTGAGAACAACATGTGTGGATGTGCACAGAGGTACCTGCCCCATGCACTTCCCATCCCACACCTCGGGTGGTTACAGGCGCCCTTGCAGAGTTTTGTGTGGTAGCAGAGTAACGTAGGTACCAGGGCTCAATCTTAACTGTCACACAATCACCTAATATATAGTTTCCTAAAGGAGGGTTTTTAAATGTTATATAGAAGTTCCCATAGCTGAAGTGGTAAATGTTATGCACGTTTGTTTATAAAGGTAGGTGATTTTATGACCATGAACAGGTAGATTAACCTGGTGTGATAAAGCCTGGGGAGACAGCTCTGCCACATAGCGGGTGTGTGGTATTGGGTTGGTTACCTAAACTCTCTGTGCTCCAGTGTCCTGATCTAAAAATTCGGGATAAAATAGCACTTAAATGACATGTGGCTGTTAGGGTTAAATTAATATCGCTAAAATGCTAGAAAAATATCTGGTACCGAGTACTAGTTATTGATTTGTTACCAATTTTGAGAATCAGAAAGTGATATTCTATTTAATGCTGGTATATTTTTGTAAAAAGTGTGACCCAAATCAAAGATACAATTTGATTTCAGCTTCATAGTCACTTTGTTCACTCAGCAAAGCTTTCAGTACCTACTATGTGCTGGGCATTTTGGGAAGAGCTAGGGTTACAGTGATGAAGAAACACAGTCCCTGCTGTTAGGAGTTTTTAGAACCTATGATGATCTATATTATGATATTTAGAGACTTGAAGGAAATTCACACAAATAGTCCTCAACTATTGTTTGTCCTTGGATAAAAGTATTATGGAATGATTTTCTTTTCTTCTTCTTGTTCTTTTTTTGGAGTTCCACTCTGTCACAGAAGCTGGAGTACAGTGGCTACATCTTGGCTCACTGCAATTCAAGAGATTCTCCTGCCTCAGCCTCAGCGCCCACCACCATGCCTGGCTAATTTTTGTATTTTTAGTAGAGATAGGGTTGGTCAGTCTGGTCTCAAACTCCTGACCTTGTGATCTGCCTGCCTCAGCTTCCCAAAGTGCTGGGATTGCAGGCCTGAGTCACCACACCCAGCCTTCGATTTTATTCTTTTTAAAGCTTGTTTGTATTGTCTATTTTACATGTGTTATGCTTTGAAAGCTGTATAAAAGTCACTTCCATGTGTTTTGGATATTGAATGATAAAAACTCTGGACCTGAATTTCATTGTATCACTAATCCAATGCAGTAGAATGTGAATTCTTAATTTAGACAGTGATTTTTAGACATTATTGTGTATAAATAGCACCAGAGGGTTTAATACAATGCAAGCATACCTGAGATCCATCAAGATGATCTCAGATACAGACCAAGAATATGAATTTTTTTTTCAGTTTTGCTTTTAGATTAATATTTGCTATCAGTTTCACATCACAGGAATTCAAAAGGAGTATCTACTTCATTCTAGAGGCATCTGTGACCCTGCATAAAGCATAATGGAGTCTCTGTGGGTCTCGAAGTGGTGAAACCTCCATTCCCCAGGAATATGGATTTTGAACAAGCACCGCAAATGATGCTGGTACACACAGGCAGTCCATGGACCATATTTTGAGAAACTTAATTCCATTATCCATTCAGGGAAATCTTCAGTCTATTTAACAACATAAAGGGAAGAAAAAAATTTTTAGGTGACAACGACCTTCAAGAACCCTGCTGCTGTTGCTTGCAAGAATTGTATCATTGATGTCATCTAGACCTTGCAAAGCACACCAGTTAAACATGGGGAAGGAATTCTTTTTTTTTTTTTTTTTTTTTTTGAGATGGAGTCCCACTCTGTCACCAGGCTGGAGTGCAGTGGCCTGATCTCGGCTCACTGCAACCTCCACCTCCCAGGTTCAAGCAATTCTCCTGCCTCAGCCTCTTGAGTAGCTAGGATTACAGGTGTGTGCCACCACACCCAGCTAATTTTTGTAGTTTTAGTAGGGACAGGGTTTCACCATGTTGGCCAGGATGGTCTTGATGTCTTGACCTCATGATCCACCCACCTTGGCCTCTCAAAGTGCTGGGATTACAGGCATGAGCTGTAAGGAATTCTTAAACTTTGAATTATCCCTGTACTTCCACATTACCATTCAGCCTAATATTCATTATTTTACCTTTATTCTGTAAAAACACATGTAAATCCATAAGGCCAGAAGGAGATCTAAAAAGTCATCTATATCTCATCTGTTTCTTGAAATATTATTTTATGGCTTTCCCTATGACTTCAACAAAGGAACAAATGAGACAGCAAATGCCAGAGGGTCTTTTCCCCACCAATATTTTATTAAATAGAAAAAGAAGTGGTGCCCAGGCTTAGTGGCTCATGCCTGTAATCCCAACACTTTGGAAGGCCAAGGCGGGTGGATGATGAGGTGAGGAGTTTGAGACCAGCCTCATGGTGAAACCCCATCTCTACTAAAAATACAAAAATTAGCTTAGCTGGGCATGGTGGCAAGCACCTGTAATCCTAGCTATCTGGAGGCTGAGGCAGGAGAATCGTTTGAACTTGGGAGGTGGAGGTTGCAGTGAGCTGAGATCACACCATTGCACTCCAGCCTAGGAGACAGGGTGAGATTCCATCTCAAGAAAAAAAAAGAAGAGGTTCTACCTGTATAAACACAGGACTGGAAAGGTACCTCAACCAAACATAACTGTGAAAGGGTCTTCACTCGCTATAACATGAATTCCCACTTATTCATCAGTGAAAAACTTAACATGCCATCACTTACATGATTTTATAGTATTTAATGTCATTGTTCTCTTGTATGGATTACCCAAAAGCTTGAATCTGCTTATGTTTCTTTAGCTGTACTCAAGCCCATATGGAGCGTGTGTCCAATAACATAGACTAATTGTGTGTTTGGTACTTACGTGGAGGTGGCGCTATATAAAGTGATCATTAGCATAATCTAAGAATCTTAAACCTAAAAATAGACATCAAACTGATTCTCTTTCTCTCCCTCTGTCACATATCTTAGATTTTGTAGGTGAAGAAAGTGTGTCTCAGAGGAGTTAGAGAAGACCAGTTAATAGTGACAATGCTACAGCCTGGAACTCCCATTTGGATCCTGGGTCTCCTATCTCACTCAGCCTGGGTGAGTTTTCTGTGTCTCTACTGCCTCTCCAGTGCTAGTCTGCCAGCTCTCATCACAATTGTGAAGTAGGTAAGCTTTGTTTTGGGGAGTTTAATCTCCTTTTAGTGTGGTTCTCTTCTGAAGCATCCCTTCTTTTGATATACCTAGCATCTTTCTGTTTTATCTTGAGAAAAATTCTCACTTATAATGTATCGTGACTTTAAATCAATCTACTACATTTCTTAAAGTATTTGTACTTTTAGGGCAGTTGTAGAAACAGACTCTGGAAATCACATCCTTTCCTTGGCCATGTGCTCTGCTTTGTGTAAAGAAAGGTCTGCACCTGTGTGAGTTTAGAAATGAAAAATAATAAGATAAAGAGTAAAGAGCAAGCCCAAACGAAGGCACGTTGACTCTGGAAATCACATCCTCTCTCGCTAGAATGAGAGTAACGTAAACAAGAGACTAGACTAGCAACTCAGAATGAACCATTTTGAAGTCTATGATTTTCTTGCCTGTAGTTAAAAATTGGTCAGAAATAGCTGATGTGTAGCAAATGATTTTTTACAACATTATGTAAAGTTGGGTTTTTTTTGAGATGAGATCTCTCTTTTTTTTCTTTTTTGAGCTGGAGTCTTGCCCTGTCACCCATGCTAAAGTGTAGTGGCACAGTCTCAGCCCACTACATCCTCCCCCTCCCAGGTTCAAGCAATTCTCCTGCTTCAGCCTCCCAAACAGCTGGGATTACAGGTGCATGCCACCATGCCCAGCTAATTTTTGTATCTTAGTAGAGATGGGGTTTCACCATGTTAGCCAAGCTGGTCTCAAACTCCTGACCTCAAGGGATCCGCCTGCTTTGACCTCCCAAAGTGCTGGGATTACAGGCGAGAGCCACCATGCCTGGCCAAGATGGGATTCCCTTATGTTGACCAGGTCGGGGGGCTCAAGGGATCCTCCTGCCTTAGCCTCATGAGAAGCCAGGATTATAGGTGTATGCTACCACAAATTATTTTCATTATTATAAGTTATGGAAGATGTTATTGTAAATGTAGTTGATGATAAAATTTACATGGATGCACAAAATTTAATAGTCTCTCCCTTGACTTTGTTTCACCTTAGACTGATTGGTCTTGCATTTTCTTTCTATTGCCATCAAGAACAGCAGCCTTCAATATGAAAACCCTATAAGCCAACAAATAATCAACTCAAAAATTTTGTCAACTTCACCCCAAAGTTAGGAATTTAAATGTATTAAGAAGTCATCAGGTGGCTGGATGCAGTGGCTCATGCCTGTATTCCCAGCACTCTGGGAGGCTGAGGCAGGTGAATCACCTGAGATCAGGAGTTCGAGACCAGCCTGGCCAACATGGTAAAACCCCATCTCTACCAAAAATAGAAAAAAATTAGCTAGGCATGGTGGTGGGCACTATAATCCCAGCTACTCTGGAGGCTGAGGCAGGAGAATCACTTTAACCCGGGAGGTGGAGGTCACAGTGAGCCAAGATTGCGCCATTACACTCCAGCCTGGGCAACAAGAGCCAAACTCAAAAACAAAAAAAAGAAAAAAAAATCTGGAGACAATAGATGCTGGAGAGGATGTGGAGAAATAAGAACACGTTTACACTGTTGGTGGGAGTGTAAATTAGTTCAACCATTGTGGAAGACAGTGTGGCGATTCCTCAAGGATCTAAAAATAGAAATTCCATTTGACCCAGCAATCCCATTACTGGGTATATACCCAAAGGATTATAAATCATTCTATCATCAAGACACATGCACACGTATGTTCATTGTGGTGTTGTTTATGACTGGGAAGACCTGGAAACCAAACCAAATGCCCATCAATGATAGACTGGGCAAAAAAAAAAAAAAAAAAGTGGCACATATACACCATGAAATACTATGCAGCCATAAAAAACAATGAGTTCGTTTCCTTTGTACAGACATGGATGAACCTAGAAACCATAATTCTCAGCAAACTGACAGAAGAACAGAAAACCAAACACCACGTTTTCATTCATAGGCGGGTGATGAACAATGAGAACACTTGGGCACAGGGAAGGGAACAACACTCACAGAGCTAGGTGTGGGGGAGGGGGGATGGCGGCGGGGAGGATGGGGAGGGATAACACTGGGAGAAATGCCTGATGGGGGGATGTAGGGGTCGGGGGGTGGTGGAGGTGGGGAATGGAGACAGCAGACCACCATGGCATGTAGGTACCTATGCAATAATCCTGCAGGATGCAGGATGTGCACATGTACTCCAGAGCCCAAATACAATAAAAAAAAAAAAGCTATGCTCTTCTATCATCCTAGCACAAATGGAAACTCAGGCCCATACTGACTGATGGCCTGTTTAAACTCTTCACAGTTTGAAGGGAAGGGGTTCAAAAGCAACCCATACTTGCCCTTGCTGATCTGGAAGGTGTGTAACCATGGGAAATTGCCATGCCTCTAAATCTCCCTCATTTCCCTCTTGTTGAATCCCAGCTTGGATAGAACTGGTTACCATAGATATAGGAGTATAAGCACCTGAACTGGTTACCATAGTTCTAGGAGCACACACGCCAACAGAAGCAGCAGTAGAAATATTGGGGAGGCTCTGACCATCTCTCTACAAGATACTGAGCAGGGCTGACGGGCACACCTTTTCCTCATTTGACTTTTCATCTTTTTGCTTCATGATTTCTTTACATACTTAATCACACTCCTTCTCTTCTCCTGAATCCTTTTCCTCATCTTATGTCTGAAACAGCTCCAGGGCAAAACACACCAAAGTCCAAATGGACCACACCAAATAAGCCCTGTATTGGCTTGATCTTTGGCTGATGTTACCCCAATATGACCGAGTTCCCCCAGCTGCCACCCTGGGAGATTTTTTTCAAATGTTCTTGCGCCAATTCCGAGCTCCCCCAACTAACCCTGGGAGATTTTTTCAAACATTCTTGGTCTACTTCAAGGTTCTCCCTAATTCACCCTGGGAGTCTCCCTTAGGCTCCTCCTGAGCTCCCCAACTTACCCCAGGGATTTTTTTTCCAGTAGTATCTGGGCCACTTCTGGGTTCCCCCTAATTCACCTAGGAGTCTCCCCCCGGGCTCCTTCTGGCTCCCCCTAACTCAGCTGGGGGATTCTTTTCAAACATTCCCGAGATACCTTCAGCTTAGCCTCTTTTTCCATTGTTCAGGCAATCCTTCATCCTGGGTTTTAGTCTCCACATTTGGGCACCTCTTACCAAGAACCAGCTCAGTTGGGAGACCCCCACCCAGATGGCGCTGAAGGTATTTGAGAGGCAGATACCGAAACAGCACAACGGAGTGAATCTATCCTGGGGACCAACAGCCTGAGAGCCTGTGGGGCTGACAGCTCTCCAGACTGAAAACCCCCGAGCAGAGAGTCATCCATGTGTTTATTTGCTCTTTGACACGTGATTCTTATTAATACACAGGTGATCTACATATACAAATATACTAGGTAGGCAGCTGTTACCCGCCTACCACTAATTACAAACTAAAAGTATCTTCCACAAGCGAACCATGGGGGCAGGGTAAACTTAATGTTTCTCAGCAGTGGTCATGCCTGCTTGCTGTTGGGAATCGGGTTGTTTTGCTCACTCAAACTGGTAAACTTACTAAGGCTTGCTCTCGGCTTTGATGACAGGGCAGCATGAAAGACAGCTTTCATTTTATCCTCCTATGTTAGAGAAGACTTTCAACCTTTTTGCTGAGTTGTGGAGCTCTGGTTCAATCTTAGAGAAAGGCAGGATAGTGGAGTGGGGCTTGGAGCCAAGGTAACTCCAATTTCCAACAGGCTCCATCACCGATGAGCTGTGTAGCCTCAGGCAAGTCACTGAACCACTCTGAGCCTGTTGCTTCAACTGTAAAATAGAGATAATAACACAGCATCTTGCAGGAGTTGTGTGAAGATGAAAGCTTTAGGTACATAAAGATATAAAATATGCAAGAGTTTGGCACATAATAGACCCTCATAAATGTTCAGGATTGCACAGAATAATTAATCATAAATATTGTTTATGAAATTAACAAACCAGAAGATAAATTATGCTCATGCTAACCCACCCACCTTATGGATGATTAGTTCGGATTCAGGATCAGATTTGAAATATCTTTTGAAACATATGTAGGGCAGAGAAATTAACATTCGAGTGCCTGGAGAATCTTAAATTTTCTCATTCCTGACTTCTGATATAAAATTTGCAATACAGCATAAGTTTTTGGTATGCTCCTGTGTGAGCACTGCTCAGTACCAAGCTTGGACTTTCTAATCTTTTCAGGCAGATTCGTGGGAAGAAAAACACCAGCTGAAGTATATAGAGAAAAAGAGTTTATTTACAAGGATACCTAGAGACGCTCACAAACTTCAACACCGGCAGTAAAGCAGCACCGGTTTTCGCAAGTCCAGACCAAGTCACCACCGAAGCTCAGTTCGGCTTCTGCTAAACAATCTTTTATACTTTTTAAAACAAAGAAGGGTCAAGTCAGGACACTGTCCACGTCTTCATCATGTAACTAACATCCTTGAGGTGTTTACCAAAAATTGGATCAGGGAACTGGCCAGGTTCCCAGATCCGACTCTTCAGAGCCTTTTTTTGCATTGGGAAAATTCTGAGCTCGGAATACTCCCAATGATAAGGAAATGAAGACGATATAGAGTCTGTCCATGACTTGTAAACTTAATTAACTCCTTCTGTTCCATTACAGCTCCCTTTTCTTTCAGACTTATTTACTTTTAATGAACAAATAAACCCATGGTATCATCTACAGTACTGGCAATTACAGAGAGTATGAAATAGAGCAATAAAAATGAACCATAAACTCTAGTTCATAAAGGGAAGCCCAAATCCAGGAGCTGACACAGTGAAGCTTCTAAAGACGTCGTCGGTGACTGATGTTGCTGCAGTGTGATTGAATGGTTGTTTAGTCTGAAGGAAGTGGGCATCATTCAAAAAGGAAGGATGGCATAGTTATCCCACCCATTTGCTAAATCGTAATTGGAGAAATTATCTAGGGCATTCAGCTATTCTCTTGAGAACATAACTATTTCTTAATTACCTAACTAGAAAACTCATGAGCCTCTGGAGAATTCTTAGGAAACGTTACAGAGTTTATGTGAACTACAGCCTCTGGTGGCAAATGACCCAGAGCAAATCTCTCACTTGAAATGAGTTCTCAGGGTCTGATGCAGCCAATCATCCCCTTGTAGCTGTTCCCTCCTTCCCATCCCTTTCTGCTACCGCCAATCTATGCGCCTTCCCAGCTGGCCCCCTGCCCCCAGCCTCTCCAGAGTTATCTTCACGAAACACAGCTCTAATCACATCAGTCTGGCTCAGACACTTTTAGTGGCCCCCCCATGTCCCACATGATGAAGTCCAAACTTTTTCAAATGATACTTAAGGTCTTCCATGATCTGGCTTCAACTTACGTTGAAATCTCTTCTCCTAGGTCTCCTTTACCACAGCCCTTATTCTCATCCTCACTACTAACCTCATGCATCCATTCAACAAACATTTTTAAAGTGCCACAAATCTAGCATTGTGATGGAGGGTGAGCAAGACACAGTCTCTGCTCTGGGGAGCTCAGAGCCTGGCGATGGGCTCAGAGTCTGGACAAGCCAAAGAGTGTTTTCCCCAGTTACTAACCCAGAGAGTTAGTCCCCAGTCATTTACCCTAAGAATGCCTTGTACTTTTTCTTTCAAACACAAATAACAAGTAAAGGATTATCTAGGTAATTATTTAATGCCTATCTCTTCTCCCCTCATCAGCCTATAAACTTTTAAGGGCAGAGAGGGCAGAATCATGTCTGATAAGTTCATCCTACATGTGTATTGACAGTTATATAGTAAATGACTTAAAATAAATATTTTTGAATGATGTCTATTTGTGGTCATTTTTTTCTTTTTGGAGCTTTACCATATTACTCTTAGATATTGTGCAAAACACTCCAGAATCTGGAATGTGTTCTCTAGTTCCATGGGGCTGTTTCTCACCTGGTCTGATGGCCAATAACATGCATAGGACTCCTTTATTCCTGCCTCAACAGAAGTGTCTGCACACACACACACACACACACACACACACACTTGCACACAGTCTCACACACTCCCATCCCTCTATTTATTGTTATATTTGCATCCAGAAGCCAATATGTTATCAAGGGGATGTTAACCTGGTTAGAATATCTGACTCTGACAGAATCTTGAATATTTGCTCCATAAATTCATCGGTGCAGGGGCAGACTTTATACTTAGCAACATTCAGAATTGCCTTGGTTCCAAAATTTTAAAAAGGAATGCAAAATTAAAAATAAGCTTAAAATGCTAAATATAGAGAATAACTATGAATACCAAGCCCCTTGCTAATCTTATAGATAGCTCATCTAGACTTATGGCTTCAAATATTACTTATGTGTTGTCTTAGGGTGGGTGACCCAGAAGCAGAGCCTGATTTGTATGCACATGATTTCTTAAGGAAATACTCCCTGGACTGGTAAGGCAGAGGGAGATGTAAACAGAGGAGAGGAAGCCCAGCAAAGGCATAATCTCAGGCAGGCTTTGCAAAGGGTGGTGGTTTTAACCCAATCCTGGGTGTACAGAAACCCTGGGGCTTAAGATATGCCCAGAGTTTTTTGGAACAAGAGAACTAGGCTTTCACACACCTTCTGCTCAGTACCCTGTGCCTGTGTGTCACTGGTCAAGGATTGTCCTAGAACAGGAGTCTCCAAACCCTGGGCGACGAACTGGTACTTGTCTGTGGCCTGTTAGGAACTGAGCTGTACAGCAGGACGTGAGTGGTAGATGAGCAAGCAAGTGAAGCTTCATTTGTATTTACAGTCACTCCCTATCCCTCACATTACTGCCTGAGCTCCACCTCCTGTTTTATAGCACAGGATCTCCAACCTCTGGACCAGGGAATGGTACTGGTCCATGGCCTGTTAAGAACTGAGCTGCACAGCAGAAGATGAACAGTGGGCCAGAGAGTGAAGCTCTAAAAAAAAAAAAAAAAAAAGTGATCAGTGCTGTGGCAGAAGGAAAAAGTAGAACTGCATATAGGGGATTGGGATTCAGGTGAAGTGTTGCAATTTTAGGTAGGGTGGGGAGAGTAGCCTCAGGGAGGGGACATTTGATGGAGACAGAGGTGAGGAATTAGACAGTGCAGCTAGCAGAGGCTAATCTTTTGCAGGCAGAGGTAACATGAGAAGGTCCCAAGGCAGGGGAATCACTCACAGTAGCTGAGTTGAGGTAAGAGGAGGTAGAGCATGAGAGGTGTTGTAAGCTGTTGCGAGCACTGCAGTTTTTACTTTGAGTGAGATGGGGAGTCACTGAAGGATTTTGTGCAGAGTAAGGACATTTTTAGAGTCACTCTGGCTGCAGAGTTGAGAAAGGTCTCAGAAGTGTTACCTCTTAGGTAAGCTTCCAAGTATTCTGTTATCAGCTCATCAAAAAACAGAATGAAGGGCAGCTGAAGGCACCCATATTGCTGTCTCCATTTAGTGAATAGCAGCTTTGAAAACTGATTATATAAATTGGAGTTATTTTGTCACACCCAGCTAAATGAGAGTCTAGAGATGAGGGAGAAGAGAAAGCAGTTGGGACACTAAGTGCCTGCCCAGGAATTAAATTGAAAGCGAGCTGCCAAGGTGACCCGCTATAACCTGAAGACCTGTTTTACCTAGGAGCTGCCGAAATGAACTGCTGTAACTCTAAGACTAGTTTTACTTAACACCATCTCTCACAAATTAGAGCTTGCCTGCTCCTAAAAGTTTTGCTCACGGTCAATGAACTATCTTTCAAGGCAATACATACCATTTCTCTCATGAAACCTCTAATCGTCTCTTTGTTCTTCTGAAGATCACCCCAGTTTGTGTGTATGCCCTGAACTGCAATTCTGTTTTCCCAAATAAAATGATTTAGGACTCTTTGTCTTTTTATTTGATCTTGACACAGCCAATCCACAAATATCCCTACTGTGCCACATGCCAAGCACTTCAATACTTTCCCATTTAACTCTTCCCACCTTCTATATAATCATCACTATTGGTGATTTTATTATCATTATTTTTGAGACGGAGTTTCGCTTTTGTTGCCCAGGGTGGAGTGCAATGGTGCGATCTCAGCTCACCGCAACCTCCGCCTTCCAGGTTCAAGCCATTCTCCTGCCTCAGCCTTCGGAGTAGCTGGGATTGCAGGTGTGCGCCATCACGCCCGGCTAATTTTGTATTTTTAGTAGAGATGGGGTTTCACCACGTTGGTCAGGCTGGTCTTGAACTGATCTCAGGTGATCTCCCCACCTCGGCCTCCCAAAGTGTTGGGATTACAGGCTTGAGCCACCGCGCCCAGCCCTATGATTTTAAAGATAAGAAAAGGAGACTGTAAAAGTTGGTAACTGGCCCAAGGCTTAGATGAAGTGGATGGAACTTCTGTAAGGTAACTTGCAGAACTCAGTGTTTACTCATGTGAACACTGCCCAAGTAAGGTTTGGTACCCCAGTGCTGAGGAACTAAAGATGGTGGTGATAAGGGGTTGGGAGGAGCATCAGTGTTTGAGTTCAACCACCACACGTTTCTTCAAGTTCTATCTCGTCTGCAGTATAACTGGACTTCCCCTGACGGTTTAAAAACCCACTTGAGCACTGCTGCTCAGCCAGCCCGAGGACCAGTGAGGCAAGCACAGAAAGAGAAAGCATTTGTAAGCTTTAGTAGCTATTTTAAAGAGTACCTTTGTGTCTGCTAGACCTACTAACAACAAATTGGAGCTGGTATTTCGCACATTTTTTTAAACTTCATTTTTATCCTATTTTATAGTATTTTACCTGAGAAACTGAATAGACAAAGACAATAGCACAACCGAATATAAAAAAGACTTCTAATCCACAACCTGCAGCAACCTGCCCAGAAAACCAGTCCGTTATCTACAATAACCTAGCCGGGGAGCCTGCCTGCTCTAAATCAGACTTGCAGGAAGCCAGATTGCCGTCTCTAGCAACAATCTAGGAAGCTCAACAATAACTTCTGTTAACAACTGGGCCAAAACGGCCAGGACTTAATAACTGAGAGCGTTCTTAATGTTTTGTCCTTGCTTCCAAGTTACGACCAACCGGAGAAAGGCAAATATGCCCGCTAACCAATCCCTAGGATGCTCCACTTCCAGGGAGCCGCCTCCAGCCTCAGGTCAGCGCACACCGAGCCTTCCCTTTTATCCACCCTAAAGCGACCCCACTCCTCTGCCTGCCATTGCGTCCTTCCCCAAAAACATTGGACAGTAGCTGACGCCTTTGCTCTTCTCGTTCGGATGGTCATTTATTTCCACACATCCGGGGGGTGGTAGTGGGGGTAGGAAAGTAGCAAAAGCAAAACCCGGGTCCTGCGCGCACCCAGCTTAAGTACGGCCCAAGGCCTCGGGTCTCCCCTAGGCAGGAACCTCGAGGGCTGGAGACCGGAACGCAACCCAAGCACGCGCCTTTGGACCGCCGGAATAAGTGGTCACGAGATTTTGCGGGGTAGCGAGGGGCCGGGTGCTCAGCGCTGGAGAAACTACAGTAGTCAGGAGACGACTTTAGACCTTCAACCAGTTGGGTTTCCGGAACTAACCCCAATCTTTCCGGTGAGAGGGTGGAGCTTCCTGCGCGCCCTCTGCGCGTGCGTCCGCCCAGCGTCCGCCCAGCGCCCGCCCCCGACGTGGAGCTTACGTCACGTCCGGCGGCGGCGGCGGCGGCGGCGGCAGGTGGGTTGGGCGGCGGTGGCAGCGGCAGGTGGGTTGAGTTTTGTCCCTCAGGCCGGTGGGGCGCGCGCAGGTGTCTTTGGTGTCCCGCCGCTTCCTTCCTTCCCTCCTGGCCCTGGGTCCCAACGGTGCTCTCCTGCCCGCCGGTCGGTCAGCGCACAGAGCACGGCGTCCTCTGCTTCTCGCGGACTACTTAGTCTCAACCCGGGTGTGTTTCCACTGCTAGAGGTGAAGCATCCATCAATGGAACCTGGGGTCTTGGACCAGGGTGTTTTTGCTTTTCCCGTTAGGTGGACGCTCATGGCCAGGAGATATCACTTGCAAGATTTCCTCTGAGAGGAGGCCTTTGTCATTGTAGTGCAATCTAAGAATGGGTGTCCTTAGACACAGGGACCGACCGTATGGTCATGCAACTGTTTTGGATGCTTTAAAAAAAAAAAAAAAATCCCTACACTCATTACGCGTTTTTTGCTGACTTTTTTATTTTTAAGACATCTGCTCCCGAAAGCTCAGGGACCTTTAGAATTTCGTGTTCTAAACGAATCCTGATGTTTCCCGTGACGGAATCGATTCAGAGGGTATCTTTTCAGTAAGGAAGGAAACCCTCCCTTTCCCTGGGGATGTCTCAGGATTTTTAAACCTAAAGATTTACTCTTTTGTGCACAGACGCTGGAAGCATTTGGGTGAGGCAGTGCAGTTCATTTTGGGAAATGCATTACGTCCCTTCTGTTTTTGAAAAGCTAATCTAACTTGGTCTTTTTTTTTTTTGGACGAGTTACCGCCAATATTATGGAGGTTAGTGTGAAGGAACCTGAGACCACTGAGTTTTTTGAATTCGTGTGATACATTTTAAATTGTTTTTCTGTCTTCAACTCTGACTTTGGGATCACTGTCAACCGGCTGCATTCTTTACCCTCTTCTGGTTATAATTTAATGTTATTTATCTGTTGTGGGTTTTGAATTTTGATAGCAACCTTTGATAGAATTGTGTTTAAAGTAAAAGATAAAGGAGAATCTGTGGCTTTTTACTTTTATATAACTTAATTTTTCATTTCACAAAATGCCCATTAAAAAAAATAGCTAGGCAAAAGAAAGAAAATTAAAATTATCTAGAATCCTACTACTTAAAGATAACTATTGCTAAAATTTTGGAATAGAGTTTTATTTAAAATTCATGATGTTGGTAATAAAAAAATGATATCATAGTGTATATTGTTCAGGTATAATTTGCTTGACATACCTTGCCTGGCTTCCCATTTTACTTATTTTTTTCTTCGTACATTTATAATAGCTACAGAATGTTCTATTGTGATAGGCACTCATAGGTATAGTGGGAAACTTAGTGCATAAACTTTGTGCTATCTATTGTAGCAACTCGGAGAACTTCTAACTTATATCTTAGTTTTTGGCCAAGATGCATGGGTGAGATGGTTCTAGAACTGAGTAAAAGGAAAGATTTAATGTTGAGTCCTATGCAAGGGCACATCAGATTTATTGAAAAGGTAGAGAACGTCATTGAAAAGTATTCTCTTTATTTCTAGGCTCACTCTTCCCCCTTAACCTCTCTCTCTATCTTTGTCTGTCTCCTCCAAGAATGAAATATGACTGAGGACTCTCAGAGAAACTTTCGTTCGGTATATTATGAGAAAGTGGGGTTTCGTGGAGTTGAAGAAAAGAAATCGTTAGAAATTCTCCTAAAAGATGACCGTCTGGGTGAGTATTATATGTTTAATTAAGCTCATTTGTTCTCAATCAATTCCACATGTTCTGAAGTAATAAAAGACATCCAGAAGCACTGGTTACTTGCTGTATTTTTTAGTAACGTGGTGAAGCAGAATGATGTATTTTGAGAAAAGTTACAGGCTTTTCAATATTTCACTGAGAGTCAGAAGTTTTTGAAATGTTTCTTTTTTTTTTTTTGAGACGGAGTTTCGCTCTTGTTACCCAGGCTGGAGTGCAATGGCGCGATCTCGGCTCACCGCAAGCTCCGCCTCCTGGGTTCAGGCAATTCTCCTGCCTCAGCCTCCCGACTAGCTGGGATTACAGGCACGCGCCACCGTGCCCAGCTAATTTTTTGTATTTTTAGTAGAGACGGGGTTTCACCTTGTTGACCAGGATGGTCTGGATCTCTTGACCTCGTGATCCACCCGCCTTGGCCTCCCCAAGTGCTGGGATTACAGGCTTGAGCCACCGAGCCCGGCCGAAATGTTTCTTGAGAAAGTCAATAATATTTTTTCTTTTATTGAACCCACATGTTTTCTTGTATTACCTCGGTAAATTTGCTTCTGGGTAAATTTGCAGTAACTCTGGTCATGGTTTTCGTTTTTTTTTGTTGTTGTTTTCTTGACTGTGGCTCAGGTTGGAATGCAGTGGTGCAATCTTGGCTCACTGCAACCTCCACCTTCTGGGTGTAAGCGATTCTCCTGTCTCAGCCTCCCAAGTAGTTGAGATTACAGGCACACCACCATGCCTGGCTGTTTTTTTTGTTTTATTAGATATGGGGTTTCACCATTTTGGCCAGGATGTTCTCAAACTTCTGACCTCAAGTGATCTACCCACCTTGGCTTCCCAAAGTGCTGGGATTACAGGCATGAGCACCACACCTGGCCCATGATTTTCTTTTGTGGAAATACTAAGACTGCACTGTATATTGATAGTTTATTTTAAGCCAGTATTAATAAGGTATTTTATTGACTAAAGTAAAATAAACTGAACCATAGTTAAAGATAGTACTTTATTTACATAGAGTACTTTTAAAGTTCGTGAAACATTTCTCACCTTATCTTTGCTCTTCACTGTACAGTATTTGCTTTAGTATGTCTGGTATTCTCCTTTGATAAGTAGAGGAATTGAGGGTCAGGGAAGTAATTGTAATTTATTGGAAAATGTAGGTATTTGAAGGCTGACTGTACCACTTACTAGCATGTTAGTTTGATCAAATCATTTAACTGCTTTGAGCTTCAGTTTCTGCATTTTAGAACAATAATTACCTGACAGGCTTGTAGTGTGAATTAAATGAAATAAACCCTGTAGTTAATAACTACCGATAATGTTATAGGAAATGTAATATATGAAAAATGCATCTCCATTGCTGCCAAATGCAAATTGTTTTTATTTTTATTATTTTGTTTAGACAGAATCTCACTCTGTTGCCCAGGCTCGAGCGCAGTGGCATGATCCTGGCTCACTGCAACGTCTGCCTCCTGGGTTCAGGTGATCCTTCTGCCTCAGCCTCCTGACTAGCTGGGACTACAGGTGTGCACCGCCATACCCAGCTAATTTTTGTATTTTTAGTAGAGATGGGGTTTTACCATGTTGGGCAGGCTGGTCCAAAACTCCTGACCTTTAGTAATTTGCCTGCCTCATTCTCTCAAAGTTGTGGGATTATAGGCATGAGCCACCATGCCCAGCTGCAAATTGTTTTTAAATAACTTAGTTGGTAGAAATCTTGGGCTAGAAATCAGGCTAGTATTGCCTCTCCTAAACTTACTGACCATGTGGTAGACATCCTCTGAAGAAACGCCTTAACTGTTCTTTCAGTTTTAAAAAAATGAAATGTGCTTTGACAAAGTGTGATCAGCATGAAAAGCTTCTAACTAATTGTTTTCTTCTTCCTCTAGATATTGAAAAACTTTGTACTTTTAGTCAGAGGTTCCCTCTCCCGTCCATGTACCGTGCATTGGTATGGAAGGTGCTTCTAGGTATGAGACCCAGGAGTTGCAAGATTTATCTTCAAAAATAGTGAATAATGGGATCATTTGCTATCTTAGTCAGAGAAAGGAGAAGTTGTTTAGGCTGTTTACTGAATGTTGAATCTTCCCCAGGAGATTCAATTACTGCTTACTATTTCTCTTCTATTACTGATACTGTAGAAGAGAAAATACTGATACTATAGAATAGAAAACAGTCTTGTCTCAGAAAGTAGGAGAAAAGATTAGGAGAAAGGAGAATTGGTTTAGGCTTTGCTGTCAGCTGGGGAACCTGGAGGAAAACGACCCCTCTGGGACTCATGTTTTTGGATCTATAACCTGATGCTTTTGAGCTAAATAATTCCTAGGTTTTAGCTCGAAATTTGTAAGGTTTTGTGATTCTCAGGTTTAGCAGTATAACTTCCTAATGAGTCAGAGAGGAATTGGAGGTTTATTACTCCCTAGAAGTGTGACTGACTAAATTCCAATGGTGTGAGTGGCTGAATGAGAAGGAAAACTTAGTTTCTGTGAAAGACAAAGTGAATTTAAGTGCTATGAGTAACTGGCAGTATCCCTTTTGAGCCTAAGATTTTCTTTCCCCCATCATTGCTGAGCCTGCTGGAGCATATAATTCCTATCCATTACCATCCTCCTGGTCTTTCTTAGAAAAATATTTTTGTTAACTGTAAGATAGTGATGAGGACTAAATTCCTTGAGGAATATAAACTATGACTGTGCCTTATTGGGCATCCCTGTGTGCCTATCAGTAGGCGGAGTAGTTTACATAGATTATACATAGTAATAGAATTCCCCTGTGAGGCAGATATTGGTATTGTAATTTTACAGGTGGGGAAAATTACTCTCCAAGGCTAAATAACTTGCCTAAGGCATTATAGACTGTAGTGGCAGAGCTAGGATTTGACCTTACGTTTGTGGGACTCATTTGAAGGTAAGAGAGGTTGTGGACCTAATTTTCTTTCCAAAATGTATCTTTTCAGGGCTTGAGGAGCCTGTAGCCCTCTCCGATTAGGTAATAAGGAGGTAGTGAGAGAATATAAGTGGTGCGCAATGACTTTTTTTTTTTTTTTGAGATGGAGTCTCACTCTGTCACCAGGCTGGAGTGCAGTGGTGCGATCTTGGCTCACTGCAACTTCTGCCTTCTGGGTCCAAGCAATTCTCCTGCCCCCACTCCTGAGTAGCTGGGACTGCAGGTACACACCACCACACTCAGCTAATTTTTGTATTTTTAATACAGTTGGGGTTTCACCATGTTGGCCAGGATGGTCTTGATCTATTGACCTTGTGATCCGCCTGCCTTGGCCTCCCAGAGTGCTGGATAATGATTTTTTTGTTGTGCATCTTGGCTGTCTCTGCGCACTTTTATGTCTGGTAGGTCAGTGTGCAGTTACAATTTGAAGAAGTGGTGACAACTATTTTAGTTTTTCCTAGAGCACTTGTCCTGAAATTTTACTGTTTTTGGTACCTTCTGGGGTACATTTTAAGTAGTAATGTCAACAGTGCCCATTTCTGCTAGGAGGTGCTATGGGTCTAATAATAACTCTGGTGGAATTAATGGGAGTTACACAGTTGTGTGTTGTGATACAGCCTGCCTGGCTTATTCATCACTTTTACTCTTCTTACCTTTCTTTATTATGTAAGTCATAGTTATTTTTTGAGGAAAAGGCACTGGAAGCTTAGAGCTGTCGTGCTGTGTAGGGCACAGCCTGACTGTTCTTAGCACAGAGTTTTGATTACTTGGGGATCTTTTAGGACCAGCTCTTAAAAACCAGGTTTAAGGGTTAACGTGCTGCCTCTAGCAGTGCAATGAGGGTTTGTTCACAGCTGTTTAATCTGTATTAGCCTAGATATAGGAGACACTTTTCTGGACGCCTGATACACAGTCTCATAGCTACAATAATTTTTATTTCAGGGAAAAGAACATTTAAGTAAGTTTATTTCTAACGTTAGTGTGGTATCATGTTAGCTCATTTTGTTTTTGTTTTCCAGGGTGTTCTCTGGAATACTAAACCTGTGGTGTTTTGCACCAAAGAGGGATTCATAGTCAAGTGTACTGGCTAACACTTACACTAGCTTATGTTTGCCAAGTACTCTTCTAAGTGTTTTGTGTATATTGATTATTCATCTGAACAACTGTATGAGATTAGGTATTATTATTCCCATTTTTTATATGGGGAAGCTTAAGACATAGGGAGATGAAGTAATTGCTAAGGGTCACCACCCAGCCGATTAATTGTAGAGCTGGAATTTAAAACCAGGAACTTTGTTCCAGAGCCTGTGCTTCTGTAGAGCCTCATTAAGTTTAATGAGACTAGAGTAAATAAAATGGTTTTTGTTTTGTTTTGTTTTTTTGAGACAGGGTCTTACTCTGTTTCCCAGGCTGAACTGCAGTGATACAATCACAACTCACTGTGGCCTTGACTTCCCAGGCTCAGGTGATCCGCCCACTTCATCCTCCCAGGTAGCTGGGACTACAGGCATGTCCCACCACACCTGGCCAATTTTTTGCAGAGGCAGTGTTTCGCCATGTTGCCCAGGCTGGTCTCAAACTCCTGGCCTCAAGTGATCTGCCTGCCTTAGCCTCTCAAAGTGCTAGGATTATAGGCATGAACCACCACACCTGGCCTAAAATGTTTTTCTTTATGGCAAAACTTAGAGCCATGAAAATTCACTGTCATCATTTCCCCAATCTGTTTGAGGATGGCATTTTAATCTCCTGGGGCTAGCATTTTGTGAAAAAGCATTTGGTGAAATGCTTATCTATCTCATTTCCTGCCTTTGACAGATGGGGGAACAAGTGCCCAGAAAGACAAACACATTTGAGAGTCCTAGTGTTATTTAATCTGAGGCTAGAATCTAGGATGGCTGGGCTGTCTAGTGGTTTTCTCAGAGCCATTTTGTTTGTAAAAAAGGATATGACCCCATGTTTAAGCAGGTTAATGAGCTTAATATGTCATAGAAATGTCATGTAAGGTGACCTCACCAATGAAGATTAAGGACTTTTGTGGCCTGGAGGATAGGATGCTAAGTGAACAATTTTAACTATTGGGGAAGAGAAGGATTCAAGGAGCTGTTGGTGGTGTGAGATGTAGGGGCCAAGTACAAAGACTAGGGTGAGGCCTCTAGGAGCTAAAGGCAACCTGAAGCTGCTATACATGAAGTTAAACCATTGTTTAATCTTGACTGTATGCGGCACTCTTATTCAAGGGCTTTGGCAGTGTTATTTCATTTATCTCTTCTGTCAATGATGCATCACCATCCAAACATTGATAATAGTTCACATTTAAGATTGTTTTATAGTGAGAATTTCTAAAAGAGATTCTATATGGTACTTAAATACCTGTGTGAATTCTAGTCTTATTGTGATGGGTGGCTTCTCACAGCATCCTCTTTCGTAGAGGAGAGATTTGGAGTGATGGCTCAGTATTTTGCCCTTTTTTCTTTATTCCTGTTCTCTCTAGGAATCCTGCCTCCACACCATGAGTCCCATGCCAAGGTGATGACATATCGTAGGGAGCAGTACTCAGATGTCCTTCATGCCCTGAACGTCATTCGCTTTGTCAGTGATGCCACACCTCAGGTTGAAGTCTATCTCCGCATGTATCAGCTGGAATCTGGGAAATTACCTCGAAGTTCCTCTTATCCACTGGTTAGTGGCCACTTTTGCCTGACACTAAGCTCAACTCTAGACTGTCCCATCTTGCCAGCCTTTGATTCCATCATGTTTTGCCTTAAAAACTTTCAATGACTCCCTACTGTTATTAGAATAGAAGTGACGGCCGGGCATGTTGGATCACACCTGTAATCCCAGCACTTTGGGAGACCGAGGCGGCTAGATCAGGGGGTCAAGAGATCAAGACCATCCTGGCCGACATGGTGAAACCCCATCTCTATTAAAAATACAAAGATTAGCTGGGTGTGGTGGTATGCACCTGTAGTCCCAGCGACTTGGGTGGCTGAGATAGGAGAATCACTTGAACCCGGGAGGTGGAGGTTGCGGTGAGCCGAGATTGCGCCACTGCACTCCAGCCTGGCGACAGAGTGAGACTGTGTCTCAAAAAAAATAAAATAAAAGTGACACATCTTTACCTGGCATTTGTGACCACCTGCATTCTGACCCAACCTCCTCCTTCTCCTCCTTTTTAAAAATATATTTTATTTTGAAGTAATTTCAAACTTCTAGAAAAGTTGCAAGAATACTACCAAGAATTCAAAGATACCCTTTACCCAGATTCTCCAGTTGTTAACATTATGTGCATCTGCTTTGCTTTGTCATTTAAAAAATATATGTACGCACATTTTTTTCCTAAATCATTTGAGAATAAGATGCAGACGGGTTTCCCTATCACCTCAGATTCCTTCAGTGTACACTTCCCCCTATAGATAGCCATAGTACAGTCCTCAAAACGAAGATGTTAACACAGATGCAATATTAACATCTAATCTACCAACTCCATTTGAATTTGACCAATAATGCCCTTCAAAAATAAGGAAACAGTCAAAGTTCTGTGTGAGGATTGGATCCTGGACTAGGCATTACACTGGGTTATTATTGTGTTGCTTTAGTCTCCTATGACTTGAGAGAGTTCTGTCCTCTCTTATCGTTCCTGTCTTTGACATTTTTGAAGGGCATAATCAGAGGCTTTGAAGAAAGCCCTCAATTTAGGTTTGTCTGGTACTTCCTCCTGATTAGATTCAGGTTATTCATTTTTTGTAGGGACATCAGGTAGGTGATGCTGTGTCCTTCTCAGTGGCTCTTATCAGGAGGAACATGGTGTGGATTTGCCCCTTAAGAGGTATTGTTAACTTGGATCACTTGGCAAGGGTGGTGTCTGCTGGAGTTTTCCACTGGAAATTTCCTTTTGTAATTACTATTTCTCTTTGTGGGGAGACACTTTAAAACTGCTATGTAAATATCCTACTCCTTATTAAACTCTATTCAAAGTATTCTCATTTGATGATTTCTAAAAAATTTTTAGCTTTTTATTTTTAAGTAATGTTGAGTATAGAAAAAAGTTGCAAAAATAGTGCAGTGTTCTCAAATACCTTCACCAGTGTCCTCGAATGTTACCATAAGGTAATGATCAAAACCAGAGAATCACAGTACTGGGAGCCACTCTGTAGACAACATTGGAATTTTGCTGGTATCTATCTCACTGATGCTCTTCTTCTGATCGAAGATCCAGTTCCAGATCACACATTACATTTAGCTTCCATGTCTTGGTCTTTGATCTGGAACAGTTCTTCAGTCTTTGTCTTTCATGACCTTGACATATTTGAAAAGCACTGGCCGGCAGTGCATTTCTCAATTTGGGTCTGTCTGATGTTTCCCCATGATTAAACTCTGGTCCCGCATTACTGGCAGGATATACCACAGAAGTATGGGACTCATTACTGTTGCTGCTAACTTTGATCACTTGGGAAAGATGGTGTCTGTGGAGTTTCTCCACTAAAAGGTTGCTGTTTTCCACTTTGTAATTAATAAGTAACTGTGGGGAAGTACTTTGAGACTTGTAAGTAGCCATCCACTAATGATTCTTGCCTGTACCAATTTTTACTATGCTGGTGGCCAAATGGTGATCTAACTCCCTCATTCTTTCTGCGTATATTAGTTGGCATTCTTCTCTAAGGAAGAGTTTTCCCTTCTCCTTTACTTCTTTATATCAGTATGAAATTAAAGTGTTATTTATTTGGCTAAAACAGTGAATTGTTCAAATGGATTTGCTGGAACACTTTCCTGTTTTATGAAATTTATTTTTATTGCAGATTTTTTTTTGAAGTTAATGATGGGGTATCCATGGACAAACTTTAGAGTCAACAAAGATCATTTATATTTATTACATTTATCAAGAGAGAGAAGGTCCCTAAAATATAATTGGAATAATTTAACCAGTCTTCTTTAAATTTCACTTACTGGCAAAGTGAAGTTGATAGTACTACACAAGTTCTTAAATTATGTATCAAATTAAATTAGATAATCTATTAGTTCAAGGAATGGAGATGAAAGGGTATAGGTTTCCCCTCACCTTCCTCAGCTTGTCTGTGTTCCAAGCTGAGACTCCTTTAATGCTGCCTCAGGCAGACATGCTTGTGCGTGTGTGTTTTAGGCTCTGCTGCCCCACATCTCCACAGTCATGAGCCTCATTGTATTAGTCTGTTTTTGGTTGCTTATAACAGAGTACCTGAAATGGGATAATTTATAAAGAAAAGGAATTTATTTCTTACAATTCTAGAAGCTGGGAACTCCAGGATGCAGGGGCTACATCTGGTGAGGGCCTTCTTGCTGATGAGGACTCTCTGCAGGGCCCTGAGATGGCACAGGTTGTCACATGGCAAGGGGGCTGAATGTGCCACCATGCTTACCCAGGACTCTCTTCCTCTCCTTAGGGAGCCACCAGTCCCGTTCCTGTGATAACCCATTAATCTATGAATTGACCCAAAGATGAGGGCAGAGCCCTCATGATCCAGTCACCTCACAAAGGCCCCACTTCTCAATACTGCCACATTGGGGATTAAATTTCAATATAAGTTTTGGAGGGGACAGATATTTAAACCATAGCACTCACTTAATGCCCACTCTGCCTCATTTTTTAATTTGTTAATAATAGGTGTGGCAGTGCTCAGCACAGGGCCAGGAAGGATTTCTTCCTCTTCCCTTGACCTGTCAGTAGTCAGGAGCAGTCAGTGACATGCCACCTTTGGGGGTGCCAAGCACAGTGAGCAGGACTGCAAGGGAGTCCAAGAAAGGAGGTTTTCCTTTCCCTTTTCATCTGCCTATTTTCTATTCTCTTCTGACACATTAATACAATGCTTAGAGAAAATTTATTTCCGAGGATTGTAATTTTGTTTTTCTTGACATTTTATAGAATATTAATAAGTTGAAAGAAGGGCTTAGAATGAAATAATACATTAAAATAAGAGTTTTGATTTAACTTGTTACTTTTTAGGGGAACCTGTGATACTTCTTAGTTTCTTTTTAATTTTAAAATTCTTCAGCTGCTAAATCCTAGATGAAAATATAAAGCTTTTTGTATGTGGTATGGTGTTTGAAAATAGAAGAGGCTTTCAAATAAGGTTCCAGTTTTTCTAAGATTTCTCTGTTGAAATTTACCTGAGAGTTTACTTTCACATTCTGAGTATTGACACAAGGTTTGAGAAATGCCATTCTTTTGATTCCTAAAATTCTGATTCTAGGAACATTTTAAATTTTTTGCTGCTTAAGCTAGAACAAAATTCTAAAGGTATGCATGAATGCTTTGAAAGCAAATGCTTTAAAAAGTCTTTTTGGAGGTCTTCGATATTTGCAAATTACTGTGCTGAAGTGTCTCCAGTTACTGTTGGTGCTATTTATTCCACCCTTTTCAAATACATTCTCACCTTGTACTGAGAATATTTTTGGGTGGAGAGAGCCAGTGACTTGCTTATGATTTATGTGGACTCTGTGATGGGCTTAACATTAGAAGCTGGAGAGTCTGTACAGAAACCTGTTCATTCATAAGCGGCACTGATCCTGTGGTTACTCATCCTTTTCTCCGTCTTCCTCCCCTCTTCAGGGATGGACTCTGTGCCTTTTGATCCCACTTTGATTTATTAATGCAGCCTTTTCAGAATTTAGGGAGCAAGGTTTCATTTTTTTATTGAAGAAATATGTATTCCTGTCTTTCACTGCCTTCCTCTTGAGATTTATTATTAATCTTTCAGGAGCCAGAAGATGAAGCATTTCTTGCCATAGCTAAAGCCATGGAGGAAATGGTGGAAGATACTGTCGACTGTTACTGGATCATCCGATGCTTTGTGAACCAATTAAATACCAAGTACCAAGATTCTTTACCCCAGCTGGTAAGGGCTTTTTTTTTTTTTTTTTTGGGTGGGGGCGGCTATTGAAGAGTGAACAATGGTAGTGGGAGTCTTCAGGGAGTATTCTTACCTCCTGGTGCTGTTATAATTATGAATAACCCTTTATAGTAGGACTCAGCAAATGTTTTCTGTAAAAGGTTGAATAATCTGTAAATATTTCCAGCTTGGTGGGCCAGATGGTCTCTATTGTAACCACTCAACTCTGCTTTTGTTGCACAAAAGCAACCTTAGATAATGTATAAAAGAATGTTCTTGGTTGGATTTGCCCTGCTGCAGGCCATAGATGGCCAGTCCTGCTCTATAGTATTCCTTATTCTGGTCTAGAATCCGCTGGTCTGGAGTAATTCCTCTGTATAAGTTAAGGTTTTCATTTGGCTGCATATAGTGGGAAGCCCAAATACCAGAAGCCAAGAACGGGGCAGTGCAGAGCTGGCGCTTCAGAACCACGGTATAGACAGGCTGCAGCCTCCTGCCATTTGGCTCCAGCATTTGCAGGCACGATCTTTCCACTCGTGCTAACAAAGTGCCTCTTGGACCAGTGGCCATGACATCTGTGTTCTGGGCAGGAGGAAAGGGAAGGCAAAGGTAAAAGCAAAGGAGTGAGAGGGACAAGCCATCCAAGTCTGTGGCCCATTAGGCTTTCCCTCAGCATGTACAGTTGATCTTTGAGCAGTGTAGGGTTAGGAGAACTGACCCAAACCCAGCATAGTTGATACTCTGCATATAACTTTTGACTCCTACAAACCCAGTTAATAATCTATTGTTGACTGGAAGCCTTACTGATAACATAAATGATCGCTTAATACATATTTTTTATGCATATTTTGTTTCCATTTTGTTTTTTTGAGATGGAGTCTTATGCTGTCACACAGTCTGGAGTGCAATGGCGTGATCTTGGCTCACTGCAACCTCTGCCTCCTGGGTTCAAGTGATTCTCCTGCCTTAGCCTCCCAAGTACCTGGAATTACAGGTGCCTGCCACCACACCTGGCTAATTTTTTGTGTTTTTTTGTAGTTGAGACAGGGTTTCACTACAAATGTTGGCCAGGCTGGTTTCGAACTCCTGACTTCAAGTGATCCACCCACCTTGGCCTCCCAAAGTGCTGGGATCACAGGCGTGAGCCACAACACCCGGCCACATATTTTATTATATGTGTATTCACTATATTCCTGTAATGAAGTAAGCTAGAGAAAAGAAAATGATAAGGAAAATAAAGTGTATTTTCTGTTCATTAAGTGGAAATGGATCATCAGAAAGTCTTCATTCTCATTGTCTTCACATGGAATAGGCTGAGCAGGAGGGAGAGAGCAGCAGGGTCTTGCTATCTCAGGGGTTGGCAGAGGTAGAAAGTCTGTGTTTAAGGGGACCTTTGCAATTCAAACCCGTGTTGCTCAAGGGTTAGCTATACATTAGTGATCAGGACTGTGTCACTTGGCTGCCCTGTCTGCAGTAGAGGCTGGAAAATGTATATATATATATGTATACTTTTAAAAGCCTGGTGCATTGTGATCTACTAAAACGGGCTCTGTGAGTGACATAGGAGGGGCACATGGGAGTGTGGCAGGCAGTGAGCTGTTTCTGTCATACAGTGGCTTGGAAAGGCAGAGAAGTGAGTGGTACTTGCTTATCACGCAAGCTAGTCTTCCTTTGCCATTTTCTTTTTTTCTAGTTTTTTCCCCTTATTTATAAAAATAAATCTTTTTTTCTTAGCTCACTGGGTTGTTTCTTTGTAAAATTCTACTGAAAGTGGTGACTGTGGTACTGGGTGCAAGATCAGATATGGGGCAGTGATGATGGTGGGATGGGCATTGAGAATCACTGCAGTAAATTATTAATAAGGCAATGTGCAAGACCCTTCAGCTTCTGAGAACACTTACAAGAACAGTTGTTATATATTTCAAGTAAGTAAAATTCGATTTTTAGGATTTTGAAATTTGATCCACTTTGTGTTTAAACATGGAACTGAAACTTAAGTAAATATGTCAGTTGCCTAATAATTAGGAGGTCTCAGTTATACCATGCCATGATTGAATTAGCTTTTCTTAATATTTGAGTAAGTCAGTAGTATTTTGATAGCTTATGCTGTTCTTTAAAAATTCATCCTTTATTTTTGGTAACATAAGCAATGAATGCATTCTCTAAAGAAATTAAGCAATTCAGACGAGTCCGTGTTTGCCTAGATCTGGACTAACCACCCCCATCCCCGCAATTCTCCACTTACCCTTCTAAGAAGTAAACATTGTCATCAGCTTGGTGTGTATGATTCAGGACTCTCTTATGTGCATGTATATATAATATGATTTTTAAAAAACACATTAAATAGTATCATATTCACATATGGTCCTATGGTTCTCTTTTTGTTTTTAACTTATTGCCGTGGAGAACTTTCCAAGTCAGTATAGATAAATCACTAGTTTTCAGCCCTGATTTCTTATTGGTACCACCTGGGAGCTTTTTAAAATTACCATCACCTTTCCTCCACCTAGACAAGTGAAATCTGAATCTCTGAAGGTACGGCTTTTTAAAAGCTCCAGGCAATTCTGAAGTGTACCTAAGGGTTGAAAGCCACTCATTTAGAACCACCTTTTAAAAAATATTTACTCCTAGCATTTCCTGTTATGAATTTGCCATATTTAAGCATAAGAGATCCATACCGAAAGTAAGCATGCCTGGTACAGGTGCCTTGCGTGTATGTGTATCTCTCTAGGGTTGGTACCCATGAGCAGTTGCTCAAGCAGAGGGGAGACGTATTTAAAATCTATTCATTTAGTTTTGACATATTTACAGTTTAAACTGCCTGGCTGCTCATCCAAAGGCTGTATCAGTTTATGCTCCCACCAAACAGATTATGAGATTTCCCATTTTCCACCCCATTGCCAATACTTGATAGTATCAATGCCTTAAATTTTTATCCATCTGATAGTGAAATTGTATCTCATTTTAATTTACATATCCTCAGTTTCTAGTGAAGTTGAGCATGTTTGCATATTGCTACTCTTTTGTTGACTTTTTTCTTTGTAGGAGTTATTGGTATATAGTCACTCTTGGATCTGTAGGGGTTTTGTTCCAGGATTCCTTGAGACACTAAAATTCATGGGTGTTCAAGTCCCTTATAGAAAATGGCATAGTATTTGCATATAACCCACACATCTCTTCCTGTATACTTTAAATCTAGATTACTTACAATACATAATACAATGTAAATACTATGTAAATAGTTGTTATACTGTATTATTTAGGGAATAATGTCCAGAACAATCTGTATGTTCAGTATAGACACAATTATCCATTTTTTATTTCCCACATATTTTTGGTCTATGGTTGGTTGAGTCCATGAATATGAGGGCCAACTGTACCCTTGATTTTTATCCTTATCCCTTATGTTGAAAATACTTGGTTGACAGAATTTTAGGTTTTGATATAATGAGATTTGTCAGCATTTTTCTTTTGCTTTTTTGCGTCTTATTGGTTAATTAGCCCTTTCTAACCCCAAGATTCAAAAATATATATTTTTTTGTTTTCTCCTAACTTTTTTTTTTTCCGAGATGGAGTTTTACTCTGTTACCCAGGCTGGAGTGCAATGGTGCGATCTCAGCTCACTGTAACCTCTGCCTCCTGGGTTCAAGGGATTTTTATGTCTTAGCCCCTCGAGTAGCTGGGACTACAGGCATGGGTGTGGCACCATGCCTGGCTAATTTTTGTATTTTTAGTAGAGACGGGATTTTGCCATGTTGGCCAGGCTGGTCTTGGACTCCTGACAGGTGAACCACCTGCCTCGGCCTCCCAAAATGCTGGGATTACAGATGTGAGCTACCGTGCCTGGCCTGTTTTCACCTAATTTTTAAAAATGCTTCAACATTTTAATTGTAGCTCTTTGTCAGGGATTTATCTTTCTGATTGGTATCAGATACACACTGGATTTCACTCTTACACTTACGTGCTGCAACACCACCATTTCTACCAATACATCACTCCTCCTCCTCCTCCCCCTCTGGTTTGTGTGTTACTGAGAAAGTACTTTATGTCAGGCAATGCTAAATATATATTTTTAGTGAGCTACTTCATTCAAGCATATTATCTTTGTTTTTACAGATGAGGGAACTGAAGCACAGGGAAGTTAAGACCGAGGTCACAGTTAGTAAGCAGTAGAACTACCACTTACACTATATATTTGTCAGTTCATCCTTTTTTCACAGATTTGAAATGCTGCCTTTATCATATACTGGATTTCCATATATATATATATATATATGTGTGTGTGTGTGTGTGTGTGTGTGTGTGTATGTTTATATTTATATTTATATCTCTTTCTGGGCTCCTTTTTATTCCATTGAGCTATTTGTCTATTCCTGGGCCAGTATCACATGATTTATTTAATACAACGTTCTAGTGTATTTTGATAGCTGAGAAGGAAAGTTCTTCTTTTTCGAAAGTGCCTTGGCTATTCTTGAACTTGCCTTTTTCTTTTCAGAAATGAATTTTATAATCAGCAGGATTACTTAACGTACCTAAAATCTTAGTTTCCTCATCTTTAAAAATGGGGCTTCTTTTAGTGTACACATTTTAGTGCCTAGCATGTAGTTTTAAATAGTTACGAAGTTTTCAAAAACGTTATAAAAACATACACAGAATGTATAAAAAACGTAAATTTCCTTTGTGTTGCTGTTTGATTTAGGCATCAGTGATTTGCTTAATTTTTCTCTCTAGTGAGACCATGTTTAGTCTATCTTATAACACAAAGTTTAGGTTACTGCTTAGTTCTATGGAAGTGTGTGTGTGATGGAGAATGATAGGCTTCAGAAGAAGCCCGAGTGGTGATGTGTTTATTTTGCCATAGTCTTCTGATTCCTAGGATTGCATCATAGCCTCTCTCCTTACAAGCTTTTCAAAATTCTGCTTTTTGTCAAGGTCACTCATTGTCAAGGAGAATAGAGGCTAACTTTAATTGTGTGGCATGGAAGGTTTCTCTTAAACCATCTCAAACTTAATTGTGTTAATCACTAAAGTAAGTGAGCTTTGTTTTATTGCTACATGTTTTTTTTAAAGCTATGCTAAAGAGGTTTTTTAATAGGCACTATTAGCAGCTTCTTACTAAGTTTAATACATATTCAGAGTGATTAAGTACCTATTTTTGTCACATTTTGCCTTCTGTTGAAGATGTGTGGTTTATTGTCTTCATAAAGTAAGAATTTAGTGTAATAGAAATATTGAAAATAACCTAAATGTTTAGGAGTAAAACATAATTATGGTTATAATAAGTCACATCTATAGTATCATTTGCTAAGTATGAAAATGTCAGGCAATATAAATCTCTCCTTCCAGTAAAAAAATACAAATATATATATATATAGATATAGATATATATATATACACACACACATATATATTTGAATTCACCATCTTTTGTAGATGAAGCAGTAGTATATAGTATACATTTTTCCCATCTTGCTCTTTTTACCTGCTGTATGCTGGAGATCATGCCATATTAGTACACAGAGATATTCCTTATCACCTGTGATGGATTTATACTACTGTACTGTGTATTTTTTATTTTTTTGAGATGGAGTCTTGCTCTGTCACCCAGGCTGAAGTGTAGTGGTGCAATCTTGGCTCATTGCAACCTCTGCCTCCCGGGTTCAAGTGATTCTCCTGCCTCAGCCTCCTGAGTAGCTGGGATTACCAGTATGCGGCACCACGCCCAGCTAATTTTTGTAATTTTAGTAGAGATGGGGTTTCACCATGTTGGCTAGGCTGGTCTCAAACTCCTGACCTCAAGTGATCCACCCACCTCAGCCTCCCAAGGTGCTGGAATTACAGGCATGAGCCACCACACCCAGCCTACACAATATTCTCAGGTTAGCATATTCATACTGTTCTATTGTGAATATAGTTTATTCAACCTATCTTTTATTTTGGCTATTTGGGCTGTTTCCACTCTTTTGCCATTATATACAGTGTTACAGATAAATAGACTCGTACATGCAGCTTTTCATGTGTTTGCCAGTATATTTGAGTTGGATTCCCTAAAATAGATTGACTGGATCAAAGGGTAAGTGCATATATTACTTTGCTAAATACTGCCAAATTCCTCTTCACAGAGCTCATACTCTTTTGCATTCTCACAATCAATAGATTGTTTCCCTACAGGCTTGCTGACATGGTATGTCATTAGTCTTGAATTTTGGCCATTCTGATAGATAGGAAATGATACTTCAGTGTAATTTTAGGCTGCATTAATTTTGTTGTAAGTAAGGTTGAAAATGTTTTTATATGGGTAAGAGGCATGTGCATTATTTTTCCTATAGAGTTCTTGGCTTTTTTTCTTTTCCATCTTAAAAAGCTTTGTTTAGTTATGGATATTAACTCTTTAAGATTATTCATTAACCTGGGAAAATACCCACAATTTGTTGAGTGCAAACAGCAAAATACTAAATCATGTATTCAGTGTGAGTTTAGCTAGTAAAAGACAGAAAAGTGTGTCTGTATATATGCAGGATAGATGCTCTCTAACCTAAGTATTACCAGTAGTTATCACTGGGAGTGTGATTATACTTGATGTCTAGATTCTCTTTATTCTTTACTATAGTTTCAAGATTTCTTATAATAGGCTAGAATAAACCAGGAAAAATGTTTAAAAAATTAATAAGATATTGGTGGCAAAAAGATGTACATTGAATGATATGATGTTGATTGATGTATTCAAAACTTTATATTAATTCACAGTATTGATTTGCTCACTCAGTAGTTACATATTGAGTGCTTACCATGCCAAGTGATGTTCTAGGTACTGAAGAACCAGCAGAGAGAACAAAACAGATACAGTCCCCTCCCTTCGTGAGCTTATTGTTTGATAAAGGAAAAAGACAATACATAGTTTAAAAATGTTCACTCATAACCATCTTGTTTATTATTTGTACTGACTTCCAGATGAAATTTTCTTTGCTGTGAGACATAATGTATAACTGTGGGTGTGTTTTCAGCCATGTCACTGTGAAAAAACTGCAAATATCCCCTTTGCAAAACCAACCAAAATTCCTTGTTTGGGAAATTGTCTGAAGTGTTCTTGAGAAGCTCTAGAAACTATTGAGTAGTTTAGGGAAGTTGGACAAACAGGAAAAAGTTAGAGATATCCTGAAAAAGAGAGGGGGAAACTGGACCAGATATTATTATGTGGGCCCCTCTTTGCCTGGCTGACTCTTGTCCATTCTTCAGAGGTCAGCTCAAATGTCACCGTTCCTAAGAAACTGCTTCTGCCTCCTACAGCCCAGGTTAGGATTTTCTCCTGGATGTACCCAGCATCTTGTGCTTGTTCCCATCATAGCATCACAGCAGTACAGTGTATTGTAGTTACCTCTTTACTTGTATGTCTCAAGCTGTAAGCTTCTTGAAGGCAGGGACTTTCTCTTACCTTTCACTTTATTCATTGTATGTAGCACAGTCTCTGACTATAGTGGACATTGTAAAGGTGATGAATTTCGTCTTTGACGGAAGCAGAGAGTTATAGATACTGAGTTAAAATAAACATTTACATTTGCTTAAGTGATGTGGGCTCTGGTTGTACTCGTGCAGATAGTGAATGTGGACTTAAGGTTTTGACTCTTAGAGCCTGTTCTCAGCCAGTGGACCCTAAATACAGCAGCCGATGCAAGGTGAATTTGGCCAGGTCTGGGGGGCTGGCTTTATTAGCTCTCCAGTCTTCTAGAGTTGGCTGCCACCTGACCTCATAAGAGAGAGGTCTCCAGAAGTTTATATAAGTATCAGCTACCAAGTAGAATCCAGGTGCTTTGTTCCCTCTGAGTTATCCCTTGAATTCTAAGAAATTCTCATGCATATTTGTATTGGGTGCAGAGTTCATCCTCTGGACATCCCTGTTGTGTGAGCCTCCTTGGTACTGGTGCACAGTGGTGCTCAACCCGGGGCAGTGGATATATGGTCAGTGACTAGTCAGCCCCTTCTCATCACCATCTCTTTTTGTCTCATTCTTCCTAATGCCCTCTGCCCACTCTAATCCCACTCTAGTTCTTTGGTTTTACACTTCCTCTTAGCCCCACCTTTTCCTTTCTATATCATCTACTCTAGACCAGCCAGTAATATAATGGGCCTTCCTTAGCTCCTCAGAACAATTGAATTTTGCTTTGGACTTTTGCCTTACTCTGTTGAATCTGGCTAGTGAAGTTAGTATTCAGGTAACCATTCTGTTTGGCCTGGGATTGCCCCAGTTTTAGTACTAAAAAGGCCCTGTGTCCTGGGAAACCCCTCAGTCTTGGATGGTTTATTACTTTAGTTAGTGCTGACCTAGGAAATTGCTGTGTCACAAGTGCCTTGGGTAATTCTGAAGTTTTGTTTTCTAATACTTCCTTGCATTCAGCACGTAATTTTTTTTTTCATCTGAGACTGTAATATCAGATGATGTTATGACACAGGAAATGAATAATCTATTCTTGCTTAATTTTCAGCCAAAAGCTTTTGAACAATACTTGAATCTGGAAGATAGCAGGCTGCTGACTCATCTGAAGATGTGTTCTGCGGTGTCCAGACTTCCTTATGAAATCTGGTTCAAGAGGTGCTTTGCGGGATGTTTGCCGGAATCCAGTTTACAGAGGCAAGTATTTCTTTTGAAGACATACCGAAGGCATAGAGTTAGAGCAGAGTTCTAGCTTCTCGTGTGGTCAGCCCTCAGAGTATAAATTTGCTTTAGAACAAGAGAGTGATTTGAAGCCCGTCCTTGAGCAGCCACCATACAGCACGTGATTCTGCTTATTCTTGAATATACAATTAGAAAAATTGAGGGCCCTCAGTGTGTTAGATGTTGTGAAGTAGTCACACCTTCAGTGGTCTCCAGGAGTTTATATAAGCATCAGCTCTTCTTTTCCAGAAGTGTGACAAATCCTCATCTAGCAGAATAGCTTTAAAGAAGCTGAAGGCAATTCGGCTGGGAGCAGTGGCTCACACCTGTAATCCCAGCACTTTGGGAGGCTAGGGTACGGGTGGATCATGAGGTCAGGAGTTCAAGACCAGCCTGGCTAAGATGGAGAAACTCCGTCTTTACTAAAAATACAAAAATTAGCCAGGTGTGGTGGCAGGTGCCTGTAATCCCAGCTACTTGGGAGGCTAGGCAGATAATCGCTTGAACCCATGAGGTGGTGGTTGTGATGAGCTGAGATTGCGCCACTGCACTCCAGCCTGGGCGACAGAGCAAGACTCCGTCTCAAAAGAAAAAAAGCTGAAGGCAGTCAAAGATTTGAGATTTAAACTAAGTTCTTCCAGTCAGTTTCAGACAAGCATTATGAGTATTTCTGAGTCCAGCTGCCACTCATGAAGACTTTGTGATGTAGTAGAGAAAGGCAGTACACAGAGAACATTATAAGATAATACATAACTAACTGTTTAAAGTAGAATACCAACTTTTAGGAGTTATAGGAATGATCAGAATTATTATCTTAGAGTGGTTGTAGATCGGTAAGTGGCTCCTAAGCCCTTAGAGAAGTTTAAGGAGTCTGTCCCCAGAATCTCTGGCAAGGAAATAGAATTTATCTCATTTCATATACATCTTTTGTTGTCCTTTAGTATGCTATGATTATATTAGCATTATGGCATATTAGCAGAATACAAACATTAGTTTAGGATTTTCTTTTTCTTTCTAAAAAATGTCAGGTTCCCAGCATGAGGGAATGTGATATTGGTAGATACCTAGTGGAGCAGCAATTTTTAGTGAACTTTGCTTTTTCCTTCTAGTGCTGACTGTATCTAGAATAGATTTCAAGTGGCTTCTCTATTTTATTGTTGTTTTGATGATTATTTCACGAAAGTTGTTCTTTGGAGATTAATTGGAGCAATTTGATTTTATTTTGTAATTTGAGTTTATCTCCTTCCTTTTATAGGGTTTGGGATAAAGTTGTGAGTGGATCCTGTAAAATCCTAGTTTTTGTAGCTGTTGAAATTTTATTAACCTTTAAAATAAAAGTTATGGCACTGAACAGTGCAGAGAAGATAACAAAGTTTCTGGAAAATGTAAGTGTGCTTTGATTTGATTTTGAATCTAGAAATGAAGTCACCTTAGCAGGTCAGATTTTCCTGTTATATTAGATTGTTTCAGAAAAATAATACAGTATATTTTTACATTATAAGAAACATTTTTCCTTTGAAAAAGTTTGGCTTAAAGTTGACCTGAGGATTAGTTTGCATCCTGTCTTTGGGAGATGATGGTCTGAGATCATCTCGTGAATGTGTCCATTTAGAACCAAAGTCTTGTCCTCCACATGACTATCAGCAGGCATATCAGGAAAAGGAATAGATGAGATCTGTCATTTTACAATAAGTAATTTTTTTCAGTTCAAAAGGGATTCTGTATTTCGGAGGATTTTGTAAGCCATTTTTTCTGTTACTGTCTCTAGTGTAATCCCAGTTGGGTTTATTAATACACAATATTACTCCTGGGCCACCTAGTATATTGCTGAAAAAGGCAATGGTAATGAAATGAATTTTTCCATCCCTATGTATCTTGGTATACCTTTACCAGGCAGGAAATAGGATTAAAGGCACTTATGCCTGAATGATTTTCACAGAATTCTAAATCTATTCATTTTAAAAATAGTATTAACATTTGAACAATGGCCTGGTAAATAATAATAAAGTACTCAGTAAATATGTGTTGAGTAATTGAATCATCATCATTATAACTGTAAGTGGCTAATGGTGCCAGGCCTGTGCTAAGTATTTTCAGTGGGTTATCTGATGTCATATTGTTAACAGCTCTGCAAAGGCAGGCTATTATGTCCCCCATTTTAGAGATGGGCTCTGTAACCCAGGTAGTTTAGTAACCTGCTCATAGGTGCACAGTTAGTGAGCAATGCAGGATTTGAACCCAGTCAGGCTGACACTAGAGCTCTTTCCTGTTCTCAGGTGACACAAGCCTTTTATGCTATCACTTTCTGAAAAACAGTGAAAACTCCCATAGAAGTAAATTTTATGCCACAGTGATTGAAGGAAGACACAGAAGTTTTAAACACTGAAATTTCACAAAGACTGGTTTGCTTGTCCACAGATTCCCCAGGACAGCTCGGACGCGATCGTGAGCAAGGCCATTGACTTGTGGCACAAACACTGTGGGACCCCGGTCCATTCCAGCTGAACGCAGCCGCTGGTGGACCATCTGCCAGGCCCACCCTGAGCATTTGTGTTCTTTGCATGTGATCTGGGAAACTGACTGAATAATAGTTTTCTTGCTTTGGTGCTCAAAGTGATTTTTTTCCCCAATAAAATTATTTAATTGAAATACCTGGTGTCGCTGTGTTTGGGAGCAGCATCTTGAAGTTACGTAGAAATGTAAAGTTCATCTCTCAATAGCATTTCAAAAGGGTTGTTAGAAAATAGCTCCCTGATTTTGAAGCAGTTTAGTCAGGGTGAGTGGGTGCCTTAACTAGCAGTGCATAACTAAGCCTGCCCTGCCTCTCTCTTACTAGCACCAAGCTAGCTACTTTTAAGGTCTATTTCTAGAATAAGAGCGACTTCCTTTTGTTGACACCTCAGATTTGGCTTTTGTTGGTGCAGCACGTGTTTACATCTAAGCCAACTGCCTTCTGAGGCTTCATCTTGCTAAGTAGGCTTTAAAAAATTCCTTACTATTTTTTTCTCTTTGGGTCAGTTGAAATGAAACCATTATTGAACAAAGTGTGTTTGAATTGCTCCTAGGAGCAAGTGCTTGTTTGATATTTTGCTGCACTCATGTTTTTTCTTGACAGGTTGTTGAAGGTGGGATGTTAGGGAGCATTGTGCCATACACTAAAGAAGTGAGAGAAATGGCCGGTGAAGGTGAACTGCTCATGACCCCTGGGCCACCTCGTGCCACGTCATGGCCACTCTTCACTGGATAGTTCCCGGCTTTGGGAGTGGTGAGTGAAAGTGGACCCTTTGTTTCACACTGGTTCTGCCTTCAGACCTGCAGGAGCTTGAGTGGTGTGTGGGATTCTCCACCCACCCCCTAAAAGAGGAGGGCAGCTAGGAACTTACAGAGGTACAATTCTGAGAATTCAGGCCCTCCCTACTGTGTAAAATACCTGTTGGAAAAAAGTTCAGAGGAGGTGTGAGTTGTTGAAATCTGCTGCTTCTGAATATTAACACATCAAATAGTATTTAATTTTTAAAAACAAAAATGTACTCCAAAGAGAAACCTTTTAAAGCAAAATTGCTGCCTAGAGTTAAAACTTGCATAAAAAATGACTTATTGCCAACCATTTATGTGGGAGCCCTGGCGCTCTTAGGGAGCAGGAAGGCTTAGGGGCTGAAGTTCCTCTTACTTCACTGTTTTGGCTGGAGGCCAGCTGATCTGAAATGGAAGACTGTTACTGTACTGCTAAGGGGTCTAAAAATAGATATTCTGCAAGTGTATTCTGTCAAACCCAGTCTGGTAAAACCTTTCTGGCTCTAGGGTGTGGGGTGGCTATTTTCTTCTTGAAGTTAGTCAATGTGATACCATCGAGAGTTTTTCCTTATTAAAATATTGAATTGGCAGAGTGATTTTTTTAAGGACCACCATGAGAAAGTGTTGGAGAGGATGAGCATCCAATTTTGTTTTCATAGCAGAATTTCACTTTGCCGAGAGCTAAGTGTTTTGAAAATGTTTGTGCCTGCTGTCTTGGGGGAGGAGTGCAGTTCCTGATAAAAATACATCCATATGCCTTTTCTTCAAAACATTTTGTCAGGATACTGCAGAAGTTTTTCTTCATATATTAAAACCCACGCTTCCTGTCACAAAACTATTGTGGCTAAAACGTGGGATTCTTCCTCACCCTTGGAAGACTGGAACTTTACATGATCAAATTTAGCTTCTGCTCTTTCCCTTCGGGAGATTTGTCTTAAACAGTTGAGAGAAGGTCTCAGTCTTCTTGGCCAGGAGAAAGGAAGGCCAAGGAAGGTTGGAGAGAGAGAGAGAGAGAGAGAGAGAGTGTGTGTGTGCGTGTGTGTGTGTGTTGGGGGTGTGGCTTTGGCCTGATGACAAATTGAATGGATGGATTGTGTGCACACAGGCTTGTGTGTCAAGGCTGTTTCAGGAAATGAGGTCAGGGTTCTGAGGTCAGGGTTCATGAGAATGAAGCACTTTCTTTGTTAATGGAAAGTTTGCCCGAACATTATGGGACAACACTCAAATCGCGTGACGCACTGAAGGAGCTCTGAGGACCGTCTTGCACTGTAGCTCTGGGTATGACAGGCCCCTGCCCTGTCTTGAATTACGTAAGTTCCCTGTCATGTGGTCATCACCTCCCCATGGTGAGTCAAGGGTTTTTTTTTTGTTTCTCTCTGAAAGTGAAGAACCTGGAGGGAAGCCAGTGGGGATGAGGAGGGTAAGCAAAGAGTTTAGATGCCCAGGACCAGATGCTAAAATGAGTTGCTTGCTCACATGGCCCAATTGACAGCGCCTGCCTGAGCTCTGTGACCATAAGCAGCAGAGTGACATCCCAAGTTCTCCAGCCAAGGCAGCCTTTGGGGAGCCTGGTGAGGTGTGGGGGTGTGGACAGTGAATCTGCCTGGATCACATAGGGTCAGCAGCTTTTGTCTTTAGCTGGGTGTTTTGGGCCTAGAAGGGCCAGAAGGTGTTTTCCTCTGCCCTTGACAGAGAGGGAAAGGAGTGTGGGAATTTGGAGAGCAGGAGTTGATGGCATTCCCTCTGGTGGTGGAAACAAAGACCATTTCTCTTTGAGACTTTGTGCCAAATGAAACTGTCCATGGCTCTTGGCACAAGCTATGGCTCCTAGATCAGCTGGTGTTCCTCCAGAGGTGGCGCCGGTTTGAGTAGGAGGGAGGGGTGGTGAAGGATGGCAGCAAGGAGAACAGAGAGTGGTAGTGATTTCTGGGGGACCATGGTGGGGGTGCTGACCTTTCACGGCTTTCCTGACTGGTCGCCTTTTCTACTTTGGTTCCTCTGTCAGCCTTGCCTTGGAGAGGTTAAAAAGTGAGTGGACTGACCGGGCGCGGTGGCTCAAGCCTGTAATCCCAGCACTTTGGGAGGCCGAGGTGGGTGGATCACAAGGTAAAGAGATCGAGACCATCCTGGTCAACATGGTGAAACCCCGTCTCTACTTAAAATTCAAAAAATTAGCTGGGCATGGTGGCGTGCACCTGTAATCCCAGCTACTCGGGAGGCTGAGGCAGGAGAATTGCCTGAACCCAAGAGGTGGAGGTTGCGGTGAGCCGAGATCACGCCATTGCACTCCAGCCTGGGTAACAAGAGCGAAACTCTGTCTCAAAAAAAAAAAAAAAAGTGAGTGGACAGTTGCTAGATGAGATGACAACTCCCCACCTTACTCCCAGGGGCTGATTTTACTCCAGGACAATGACAAAGGGAGAGTGGAGAATGTCATCAGAAAAGGACACACAAGAATCCTAGAAGCTTGTCCTGACTAAGCAGAACTCCAAATAGAATTTTGTAGCAAGCACTGAACATTCACACCTCCAACTCATACCTAATACTCAAGTTTTCCTTTGCAGTTACCAAGAACTTACACGGCAGGCACTGGAGACTGCCAGAGCTCACGCTAAGCTCTGGCTCTGTCACAGAGTCATTTCCTGCTCTTCTCCATCATCCTTTCCCTAGAGTCTTAATAAGTAGCAACCTGGTACTTGCTGGTAATTTTAGCATTTCTCTTTTCCCCACTTCTGCCTACCCTCCGGACATAACACTAAGTAGATTTGAGAGCGGGGGCAGCAAAGAGGAGAAGCTTTGGAAGATTCGCTTGTTTTTTTTTTTTTTTTTTTTTTTTTTGAGATGGAGTCTTGCTCTGTCACCCAGGCTGGAGGGCAGTGGCGTGATCTCCACTCACTGTATCCTCTGCCTCCCAGGTTCAAGCGATTCTCCTGCCTCAGCCTCTAGAGTAGCTGGGACTACAGGTGTGTGCCACCAAGCCCAGCTAGTTTTGTATTTTAGTAGAGATGGGGTTTTACCATATTGGCCAGGCTGGTCTAGAACTCCTGACCTCGTGATCCACCTACCCCGGTCTCCCAAAGTGCTGGGATTATAGGCTGAGCCACCACACCTAGTCTGGAAGATTTGCTTCTAAACGTCAGGTGGCTACTCTTCTGATTGGATCTGTTTGGTTCATTTGTCCTTTTATTTGTTTTCATTCAATCATGTAATATATGTGCATACACTCTTAATTATGGGCCAGGTGCTGAGCTTAATCGCTGAACAAGACATGGTATCTGCCCTCTCAGAGTGTACAAGCATTTGGGGGAGAATATTTAACAAGTATATGTTTTGTTCCAGACATCTCTAAGAGAAACTCTCAACTCCTGTGCTGCCACACCAGGGAGGAGGTGGACTGAGTCTGTCCAGAAGCTCCAGAGGAAGGATAGAATTCCTCTGAGATGTATGATTCTATGTCCCCTTCCCTTATTAATGGAAGAGGTGACAGGAAGCACCTTGGATCAGGGAGGGAGCATGAGCATCTTCCCCACTCACTAGTTTTGTGACCCAAGCTGATCACTCATTCTGTGTCTTGGTTTCCCCATCATCAGACAGCAATTCTGTTACATCCCTTCCTCCCCAGTGTGCTTGTGAGCATCACAAGTTGGCTGTGAAAACACTTTTCGAAACATGGAACTCTGTGGATATTTAATATTTTATTTTCTTTTTTCTTTTTTTTTTCTTGAGACGGAGTCTTTCTCTGTCTCCAGGCTGGAGGGCAGTGGCTCGATCTTGGCTCATTGCAACCTCCATCTCCCTGGTTCAAGTGATTTTCCTGCCTTAGCCTCCCGAGTAGCTGGGATTATAGGCATGTGCCACCACATCCAGCTAATTTTTGTATTTTTAGCAGAGATGTGGTTTCACCATGTTGGGCAGGATGGTCTCGATCTCCTGACCTCTTGATCTGCCTGCCTCAGCCTCCCAAAGTGCTGGGATTACAGGCGTGAGTCACTGCACCTGGTGGATATTTAATATTTTCAAGAGCATCATTTGCAAGAGTGTGGCTGGGCACTGTCTCTATTTGAATCTACTCCATGGACCTAACTCAGCTCTACCTGCTCTGAAAATTTGTTAACTGCCAAGCTTAAAATGTGTTTTCCTCCCTCTGAATTTCTGTAACATTTCAGGGACTACTCATTTAGCAGTAATTATTTGGAAGCCTCTTGTTCGGTTGTCTTGAACTTTTATTAAGCATTCCTATGGTTTCCCTCTAAGATGCAGGATTCTTGAGGCCAGGGGTTGCCTTTAGCACACCCGAGGCATTGGCAGATTCAATGTCTGGTGAGGGCCCTCTGTGTGGTTCATAGATGGTGCCT